ACAATACTGTGAAATTTGAGAAATTATGTAATTACTTAATCACAATTAAAAAAAAAAGAACCTGGGGAAGGTAGAGAGGGAAGGGATGGTAGGGGGAAAACAATGGAGGGGGTAACAATGCTCAATAGGAAGTGTACTCATTACCTTGCTCATGTAACTGTAACCCTCTGTATAGTGTCTTTACAATAAAAAAAAATTTACCATTTTCTTTTTTGTGTGTGCCAGTATTAGGGCTTTAACTGAGGGCCAAGGCTCTGTCTTTGAGCTGTTTTGCTCAAGACTAGTACTCCATCAACCTGAGAACCACAACTCCAGCTCCAGCATTTTGGGGGGTAGTTTATTGGAGATGAGAGTCTCACAGACTTTCCTGCTGGGATTGGCCTTGAACCACAATCCTCAGATCTCAGCCTTCTGAGAGGCTGAGAGGATTACAGGTGCGAGCATTGGTACCTGGCTCCATCTCTTCTTTTGAGTCACTTGAGTTGGATACTTTCTCTTTTTCTTTTTCTCTTTTTCTTTCTTTCTTCCTTCCTTCCTTCCCTTCCTTCCTTCCTTCCCTTCCTTCCTTGCTTCCTTCCTTCCTTCCTTCTTCTTCCTTCCTTCCTTCCCTTCCTTCCTTGCTTCCTTCCTTCCTTCCTTCTTCTTCCTTCCTTCCTTCCTTTTTTTTTTTTGTTGTTGTGTGGCTTTAACTCTGGGCGTGGGCACTGTCCCTCAGCTCTTCAACTCAAAGCTAGTGCTCTACCACTTGAGCCACAGAGCCACTTCCAGTTTTCTAGAGATTAATAAGAGATGAGTCGCACGGACTTTCCTGACTGGGCTGGCTTTAAACAGCGATCCTCCGATCTCAGCCTCCTGAGTAGCTAGGCTTACCGGCATGAGCCACTGGTGCCCAGCAAGTTGGATACTTTTGTACACTGCTATATTGATCTACAGTGTTCTAGCCAAATGTACCATTATTCCCCTGTCTGAACCAAGGATGTTACTACCACATTTTTTACCTCCTAGTATTGTGCCTTAAATTAATAGACAATCTATTATAATTCTTTTTTTTTTTTTTTTGTCGGTCGTGGGGCTTGAACTCTGGGCCTGGGCGCTGTTCCTCAGCTCTTCAGCTCAAGGCGAGCGCTCTACCACTTGAGCTACAGCGCCACTTCCGGTTTTCTGGTGGTTTATTGGAGATAGGAGTCTCACGGTCTCTCCTGCCCGGGCTGGCTTTGAACTGCGATCCTCAGATCTCAGCCTCCTGAGTAGCTAGGATTACAGGCGTGAGCCACCAGCACCCGGCTCTATTATAATTCTTAAGGGTAGTCTGAGAACAACTTTATATGTAAAATACTTGATGAAGGAATAAACTACATAAAATGCATTTAAAACAGCTTGTAATTATTGAGGTTCATGTTCTTCTGGTATATTGTTCTAAAAAATAGAGATTTATTAGAACATTGATTGGAATTCACAAAGGCTTTAGTATTTAAATCATTAAAAAGTACAAGATTCTATTTGCTTGATGTCATTAATTTCTCATATGGGATCACTGAACATGAAGTATTTAAAATTTTTTTTTTGCCAGTTCTGGGGCTTGAACTCAGGCCTGCACACTGTCCCTGAGCTTCTTTTGCTCAAGGCTAGCTAGCACTCTACCTCTTGAGCCACAGCACCTCTTCCAGCTTTTTCTCTTTATATGGTAATGAGGAATTGAACCCAGGGATTCATGCATGCTAGGCAAGCATTCTACCACTAAGCCACATTCCGAGTCTGAAGTGTTATTTTTAAATGAAAGTTATTTCTGAACCTTACATAAATGTATAGATTCTTTTGATTTTCTTTGTGCAAAGCAGAATTTGACACCATAAGTAAAAAGGACTATAAAGTTTTCTTGCAGTTGCATTTTATGTCACTATAATGCCTGGTTTTTAACCTGGAGCTACTATAATTACACTAGATGCAAAGAAACTAACATGTTCCATGGTGAACCTTAAAAAGGACAAGAGAGGCCATGCACCAATGGTTCACACCATTAATCCTAGCTACTCAAGAGGCTGAGATCTGAGGATAATGGTTCAAAGCTAGTGGGGCAGGAGTCCATGAGACTCTTATCTCCAATTAACCAGCAAGAAAGCTGAAAGTGGAGCAGTGCTCAAGTGGTAGAGTGTTAGCTTTGAATATAAAAATCCAAATAAGAGGGCTGGGAAGGTGGCTCAGTGGTAGAGCACTTGCCTTGCATGCATGAGGCCCTGGGTTCAATTCCCCAGCACCACATAAGCAAAAAGGAAAAAAGTCGGAAGTGGCGCTGTGGCTCAAGTGGTAGAGCGCTAGCCTTGAGCTGAAGAGCTGAAGGACAGCACCCAGGCCCAGAGTTCAGGCCCACGACTGGACCA